AGGCGGTCTCCGGTAAGAGAAGCTCTCTGAAGAGGTAGTGTGAATCTGCAGGGGAGGCCTGATTGTCTATACAGAGTTGAGGGGAACACTTTCATATAACGTGTTACTATAAGTGTGATGTTTTGTTTGATCCATACACATAGCATTTCCCGAGGCAAGGGAGTTAACTGACTTTAAAAGTCCAGTTTCCACCCTTGCCGAACTAGGCTGGAATTATGGAGTAATATGTTGGCTGGACTAACGAGTCTCACACACACACACACACACACACACACACACACACACACACACACACACACACACACACACACACACACACACACACACACACACACACACACACACACACACACACACACACACACACACACACACACAAACACACACACTCACACAAAACACACACACTCACACAAAACACACACACTCACACAAAACACACACACTCACACAAAACACACACACACACTCACACACACTTTTACGTAGTCACACTCACGCGAACATACTCACTCACACACTCAGGTCCACTCACACTCACCAACATGCTCACCTTCACACACTGAGACTAACGCTTACACACTCACACTCAAATTTACACACTCACACTCACTGGATCAGGGTCACTGATTAGTGTCAGTCATGATCAAAAGACATGTATGTTGGAAAAACTTCAAACTCGTACAAGTACGCATAGCTTCATATGAAATAGCTACATTAATATAGCATATAACGCGTCCCATTTTAATTCTGGAAACCCAATAGTCCAGAAACTCTACGGTCTTTGCCCAGTCTCGGTCAAAGATATTTACAAAAATAAACATGCTGTTTTCATGGGAACATACTAAGGAAGAAAAAATGAAAAAACTCAATATTTACACTATGTTGCCCATGGGCAGGCTAATGGGCGAAGTGTGGCCCATGGGCGAGAATATGTTCCTTTACTGAAAACTCATGATTTTGTTTCGCAAATACATAAATGTATTTCTTTCAAGTATCATAACACAAAATTTAACTCATTTTAACTTAATTCAACGATTTTATAGCGCTACATTACTATTTAAAAAGGGCCTTTGGTTGGATGTTTCCTTTATAGAAGTTTTACAAATTTCACCTGTTTTACGTTTTGTAGCGATCTTTAATGAACCCGGCTTTACCTCTCAAAACGTTTTGATAGTTTATCATACGAATTCATACGCGTGTACTCCAATTCATTGGCGTTATTTTCCACAACATTAAAAAGTTTTGTTAGTTTCTTTTTCATTTCTCATTTTATGTCTCCTTGTTACATCACACATGGCAATTAAGTGACATTAGTTATACAGGTACAATATACAGGTACGCGTGCGCGTATTTTAATGGAAAAACAACGATTCGTCTTTCATTGCATAACGCGTATACCGTAATTACGGTAGTACTTTATTAGATGCTGAAGTAAAGTATGGTTGCACAAAAGTACTTTACATTTAACAAATTTAATAACTCTAATACTTTAATTTTTCATAGATGTACATTATAATTTCTACAAAAACAACAATAACTTATATCTTAAAATATAATGGTAAATACATAAATACATTCTATAATAAATTTGCGGTTGCACTGGCATACACGTTGTGTTCAAGTCATTCACTCCAAGTGGATCAGGTCACCAACGTGATCTGTGTACTCAACGTCGCCGATGACGTTGTTGACGAGATTGTCTTTCAGAGCCTGGTTGTCAATCAGCCGGTATCTTCTCTTTCTGGGTGGTGCTGACCAGTGGGCTCCAATTCGTTGAATGGCGACTTCTACGTTGGATTGTTCTCTTTGAAATAGCGTAACAACTTCAAAAATGTTCGGATGGCTCTTCCTGGCAAGTTTGTTGAGTTTGTGATTCCACCCCTCGACCATATTGTTAGTGCGGTGGATGAGCTTGGACTTGAAAGATTCCACTTCCATCTCATATTGGATAGGTTGGTGGGTATGGTTCACCTGCAATTAAATAATTGCATTTTAACTAATATTAACTATAAACAAATACATACATGTGACTAATACCTGTGGTATGTAAAAATAAGTAAATAATAATAATAATAATAATAATAATAATAATAATAATAATAATAATAAGTAAAATAAATAACTGAAAAGTTTGTTAAGCAAAGTCTTTTGAGTCTATGTATTTAAGATTATTATCATCATTATCATGTGCATTATTTTTTTACCTGCAAAGCCGTTTTCAGTGACCACCGACGCTCTGCAGGCAGCAACAACGCAGTTCCAATACTTCTTCTCACGGACCGTTTTCTTGCAACTAAACTTGAATCCCTCATAAAACAAGTGCTGACCACCTCGCACGGTATCAACCATGGTCACTCGAACTTGTGCATTAGCCATTTTGGACATAGATAAATAAGTTGCAATCTTTATATATACCATCAAATACATACTGTATGTATTCTTAAGAAACGACTCTCCTCTAAACCCATCGGTATCATAACCCATATCAACTAAGAAA